CAGAACCTTCAAGAATCTTGTGCCTGTGTTCTTGGGGTAGCTTCACGATGCATTGGTACTGGAAGTCCGACTTCTCACCAGAAGGATGGTGATTTTGCCGGAGTGCATAGAAAGTCGCTTGGTCCAGAAACTTCGGAAAGAGTTCCTTCATGGCCTCCTGGAAGCTGCGCAAAGGATTGGCACCAAATTTGTCGAATGCATCTTTGGCTGTCAAGCGGTTGTCAAGCTCAATGACGATCTCTGAGATTGCATTGGTCTTGAACTCAAAGGCAGGTGTAGCAACCAGAGAATAGTTGATCTTACCCTCAAAGGTCAAGAGCGTCACGATGCGCTTGTAGCTGGTGTTGAGGGCACCATCGTGGAGCACAATCTCATAGGGACCCGAGGCCAGAGAGCTAAGAGCCTGGAGCTGGCCATGTTCAATCGCAGGAATGATGGCTGCAAGTGGTTGAGATGTCTTGATCTTGGATAGCTCTGGAAGCTGAGCCTTGGTGACCAGGATGATTCCTCCTTTGGCCTCAGAGAGCTGGTGACGATGAACTTGAGGAACCACCGTTTTGTCCTCCAAACGAAAAGGGTGATCCTTGTCCATACGCAAATCTTCCCATTTGGATTGTGAGGATGCAGATCGTTTCGCCCAAGGGTCCCTGATCTGAAGAACATCGACCGTGGAGTCAACTACCATGGCGGTGGGAGAAGTCGATGCCTGGGCTGTGGATTGCACCGCTCCACCAGAGGCATAAGCTGGAGTGATGCGGCCACGTAGCAAGTCATGAACAAACCAAGCAGTTGCATCTTGAGCAAATTTGTGCACATGTGGTGGTGCAATAGCATGCCAGATTTCATTGGCCTGGTTGATGGCTTCAAAGAGTCGTTCTTCAGCTGGATTAGCCGCAATGGTCTGAAGGATACCAGCTCCTGGAGCAGGAAGGTTGACCTGGCATTTGGCAAAAAGATCATGTAGCAATACCCAGCCACAAAGACCAAGTGGCGGTTCATTGGGAAGCAGCATGACCTGGATCTTGTCATCCTCTATCCCGATCATCTTCAACAATTGTGACGTCATGTGGTGCAGCTCAAATCCATAGCTCGAGGGAGCAGAGATCCAGATCAGACAATGGTCAGCAGTGCGCTGGATCTCACAAAGGACCCAATGCTGGTCCCACAGGACAAGCGTGAAGACATGTGAGTGATATTGGCACTGATCCGAGTAGCCTCCGAAGGTGCAGATCGTGCGATTGCTCGATGACCATCTCGCAGGAGCCGTGAAGGCGACACCAGGACACTGCAATCGAAGGATTTGGAGAAGATTGTCAGCAATGTCGCTGCCAAGCCAGCCAGGGTACCGAAGCATCTCATCAATGCGCTGATTCCGAATGTCTTTCAGCAGGGCATCGTATTGGCCAAAATGAAGTACACTGCCTACTGGCCGCTGTGTCGAAGCTGGTGGAAGCCGGAGGATGAAGTCATAGTCAATGACAGGAGCAGCATCATTGTCCAGTAGCCCAAGGTGGCAAAAGAAATCCAGTCTCAACTGATGTGCAAGGTGCCAAATGTGAGGTGGAAACTCATGCGCTTGCCAATTCTCGATGGATTTGGCCAAGACATCTTGGACAAGTGTATACCTCCAGCTCGGGAGGTCCTCCAGATCCTCCTCTGACACCTGGATGGAGTCATGTCGATCATATCTCTCGTACCAACGATAGAGGAGAGCCCAGCCACATGCATAGTCAGCTTGATGGAAGAGATCCACAAACAAGTGCATTTTCCTCATCGTAGTGTCCAGCCTTCTGCACAAGATCGAGGCAAGCATGTACGCTGTTGTAGCGTCAAGGCCAAGGACAGTCAGGAGAATGGAGTCACCAGTGCGGGTAATCTCACATCCCACCCAATGACACTTGATGAGCACTGCAAGCCACGTAGTCGTTTCCATCTGTATTGCAGGGAATTGGAAGTGACTTTCATCAAATTCAGTCTCAACTCCGTCCCAAAGAAGGATCGCGAAGGCATTGCAAATGTCAGGATGAAGCTTCAGAAGCCAGTCCATGGCGTACTGCAGCTCATCAGAAGCGCAACAACCTTCCGTACAATTGCTGAAATGGCATCTCTCGGAGAAGTTTGCTCCTTGTCGAAGATGCCACACATTGTCCTCAGTTTGCGGGTGACCACCTGCATATACATGGCCCGTGTTGATCAAAGAACGGAGAGCAGGGTCTCGATGGACAACCGAAATGATGTCCCCATCCGCACACTCATGGATCATCGGTGATTCCAGAGAAAAGCCATTGATTCGTTGGATATCAAAAGGCTCACCTTGGATGACCACAGTCGTGGAGTGATCAACTGCTCCCGAAAAATCGAGGACATAGAATTCCACATGCTTGGACATGTTCTCGACGACAATGATATTGCTTGCCAAGTGGGATGGCATGAAGACCCACCATTCAAAGTCAGGAAACCTCACGGAGTTACCAGCAAGTCGCCTGAGTGACCACTCTCTGAATCCTCGATCGCTAAGGAAGCCACGAACACTGTCAATGTTGTGTTGATCATAGATCCTGGCCAGGATAGAGGTGGCAGGAGTCATCCAAAGCAAGATCACTGGGTCCGAAGGACCTTCTCCTTCAAATATTTGTGCACTGCTGGCAGCCGTAAAGAAATGGTGGATTCGAGCGAAATCATCCGATCGTGCAATCACTTCTCCCTCACAGGTTGGGATCTCGATGGTTTCTGTCACCGACACTGGGACATAGGGAATGGTAGGAGAGATGTCTGGGGCATCAACCTGATCCTGCATGACAAATCTGAGACATGCAACTTTGACAGAGGCCGCAAAGATGTTCCATTCCTTGGAGATGATGATCAGGTCAGAGATCTGCTCAACCCTGGAAGCAACGATCAAACCATGTCTCAGAGTGATCTGAGTCAAGGCATGCGGGTCAAGGCCAGTGCAGGATCGAATCAACTCATGCACCGTCCATGAGGGATCACATGAGCCCTCCGTGCCATGAGATCCATGGCAATCACTGACAACACACTTCATGGCAAAGGCGTCAACGCTCGGGCAGCGAATTGGAATGCGTTCGAATGCCAGCTTAACCTGTGAAATGGTGATGAAGTTACCTTCAACTTGCACAAAAAAGCATTATGAGTCGTCATGCGTTTCAACCAAATGTCATGGACAATTCGAAGAATAGGGATTGTTTCGGCTTGAATGGCCTGCAATCCTACCAAAATGGCGAGCGCAGCTTGAGGGACTGCAATGGCATTGCCCAAAACATGGTATGCATCAGTCGGCTGACGTTCAATCGACACCCTGGTTTGCCCCCCGAGCAAAGCCACAATACGAGGGGGTTCAACCCAACAAAAACCCTCAGATCCTGACGAGAAAAAGGTGAACATACCTCTCTGCAGAAGGTGATGTGTGGCCAACTCATGTTGGTGACCATAGGAGGCACATATGGTTGGAAGAGGTTCGGTAGGATTGATGGTTCGTTCCCTCAGGACCGTCTCTGTCACTGCATCGGGTGCTACCGGCCTTTTTGGCAGGCGGAAGTGTCCCTCGACTGCCATACAATCGCTGAAGCTCATCTGAAAGGAGTAGTCCATCTCGCACTTCCTGAGGAAGAGGAAAATCATACAAGTCTGAGGACCATGGACACAAATGCTCAGCTTCCAAGTGGAAATGCTCATCAATGACACCGGGGTTCATGTCAACCCTGGCCCATGCAGACAGCCACCTACATCTCATGTTGTGGGACAATGGATGGTATTCTACCAGCTGTTGCCAGATCCTTCAATAACCGCCAAGTTTCAAAAGGTGTGAGATCAATCCAAAGTGTGGATGCTTAGTGATCTCTCGGAGCATTCAAAGACTTGGACGTTTGGCTGCAGAACAATTGTGAGAAACACAGCTTCGATGAACGAGTACCCGGCAGCGGAATTGAGACCTTGGGCCCTACCAGCTTTACTCCAGGTAATGCATGGGGGTGACGCAGTGCAGACAAGATTGAGGCGGACACGGACTTGATGGCAAAAGGTGCAATCGTTCACCGAGGTGCATATCCCCACATGGGAGCTAGGACTCCAAGGAAAATCGGGATTTGTCGGTCCAAAGTGCACCGGCTTCTCAAATTGACTAGCCCAATTTTGCATTGTGCGAGGATCGCTATCAACATAGATCTGCTGGGAAACCTGAGGGACTTGTTCAGTCTTTCCAATTGCCTCCAAGGCTTGAGACCACCCGCAGAACGAGCCTGAAAAGAGATGCACGGCCGAAATTGGTCTTCGAGGATTCCACAAAGGGACATTCGTGATGATCGTGTCACGTGGCATCACGAATCGAGTGTGACAGCTCTGGACAATGTTCCCATAAAACGACACAATGTCACCATGTTGGAAGTGCAAATCTCTCATGGTCAGGTCCTGCACCAAAATCTCCCACACTTCACCTCCCGAAGGAATGAAACCTTTCCCTGGGGAAAAATTTCTGGGCTTCACCCACATCAACGATCCCTCAATACCACACAGCTCTCCCTGAAAAAGCACTTTCCCAGCAATGCGAGCGAAGGAGCCGGCACTACCAAAGGAAATAAACAGCTCCTCAAGAGCATGCTTCCAGGGATCATCAATCTTCGACCTAATCATATCGATCAACAAAGAACTCATGTCGTCACAGAACCAAATGAGGTCACACCACGGCAAACTCCACAATGACCAGGCTGCAGAACTGAAAGCAGTCCTGCTTAGTCGACGATGCCCCCGCCTTCCGAGGGCGGCAAACACCCCTAGGTGGCCCGACACCTTCAGCCACACGGCTTTGGGCCTAGATGGCTAGGTCGTCCATTCTGTTCATTTTTCCGAGATCCAGTCGTACCGAACCTCAGGTACGATATGACTGGGACCCTAGGTCGTACCTACATAAGAGTGTCGAACACATCACCTCCTGAGGTTCGGTACGACTGGATCCCGATTTTCCGTGGTCCCTCTGGTGCCCGCAGGACGATGCCTCGCTGCAAGAAGCCGAGCTCCTGCCTGGCGAAGGCCGCGTGCGCGCTTGGCGAGCGGAAGCGAAGAAGCTGTATCTTGTGGAGCAGGTAGCGAGCAGGTAGCGGGATTGTATCCCTAGGCAGGTCCAGTCTGACCCATAAAACCTGGTTTTTTTACCTCTTTAACTATATCTAGTATGACCAGGATCAGTAGATTGAGGTCATTGACCTGTAGGCTAACCATATGACTCCCCCCCAAATCATGGTGACGTGGGCGTTCCCGTGCCCCCCGTCAACTCGGTTTCGAGTTAATGTTCCGAAGACCTCAATCGGGAGTTCCTCCACTTCAGTGCACCAGAAAGTCCCTTGGGATCCAGTCGTACCATGTCGTACCTTCTCCTGTGATCACGAACACCATGTCGGACAGTCGCTATAGTCACTCGATACGTCCCATGCGTGTGTTTTGGTGTTTTTTTAATCTTCCCCTAGGGATCCAGTCGTACCTTCTCAGGTTAGGTGATTGGAGACTTATGTAATTATGTAGGCTTGGAGGGCCCAGTCGTACCTCCTGAGAAGGTGGTAGTGGATCGTTAGGGCATGATTCTTCCAGGGAGTGTATATCCTGGACCCGACTTCAAGTAACTTGGACAGTCTGAAAAGCAAGTGCATTCTTGTCACATGTTTCCAGGGTCTAGGGTCCTGGCCACCAAAACCTGGTTGTGCTTAGGATGATATGTATTTTCCCTATGCCTATGACTGAATCCCAAGTGTGGGGAAGAGTTTTTTCCGCGGTTCCTGGAGAGCCAATCCAACAAAAGCCGTCATCCTCCACGCATGAACGCCAGGCAGCGTTGCCACGCGCCTGCCGCGCGTGCGCGCGGCGGGGCGTTTGCGGGAGGATGCCACGCACGAGGCGATTGGAAGACACACAGCCAACTGGGGACGCCTGGCGCCAATGTTTTACACGTTTTACTAGGGTCATGGCTGATGATGATGCTTAGTCCTTCACCCCAAAATAATCGGTACCAAAATAGCTGAAGTCGGACACTGCTGTGGCGGCCGTGTTGCTATGCGCGCTTTGCGAGTGGACATTGGCCACTTTGTTTGAGAGAGAATTTTTGTCCGGCTTCAATGAGTCGCTGTGTTTGCGACACTGTCGTTACCTCGAAGAAGTGTTGGGTCTCGTCGGCCTTTTTTGTTGAGCGTGGACTCCTCTTGTGGGATGCCAAGCCGGACAATGTGGCTTGCTTGTGAACGCCATGGGACGAGCGAACCAGTGGATGAGTAATGGATGCGATCCAGGTCATAGACATTTGGCCAATAAGAAGGAGAGAAAATGATTGTCTTAAACCTGTGGTTCTCGATTGGCCTCAGATATGAACGTATTTTGTCAGTGCAATGCCGCTACAGCCACCCGCTGATGACGTCAAGGTTGCGCAGCGCAGCTCTTCGCCCACGACACGCCCCGGGAGGATGCGGGCTGCAAGGGGTGGCAGCCAGTCTTTGGCTCTATGGATATCAAGACACACGGCGACAGTGAGAGTCTGAGTACGACTTGATGCTCAGCACACTCTTTCACACCCAGACTTCTACGGCCACCCCGTAGAGATCGAACCCGTTGAAGACGATCACTTTCTGGGAGTTCACATCAACTCCACAGCACGCACCATCACATGTCATTTGCCCTTGGCAAATCAGAGACTCCGACTCAGCAGGCAGCCAACGCCTATACTTTTGTCAGGATTCAATCCCGTTCTCATTCCATCCGCAAATACTCTTATCCAGCATCCACCATTATACAGAGAGCGAACAGGCATTGGCACAACTATTTGTGGCAAAAGGCCACCCAGAGAGGCTTTGCTTCGCAGCGCGGCGAACAGAAAAGCGCATCATCCAGCGGCCCTGTTACACTTCTGGTCACCTTCTTGCAACTTACAGCCAGTGATTGCTTTCTCACCGAGCATGTTTTTTTATCGTGTTTGTACTTACTACTAGCAGCGCCGAGACGGCTCGTTGTGTATGCCCACCTTTGCACAGTCTTCACCAGCAGCAGGGGGCACCGGAGGTGCTCATGAGACCGGTGCTAACAAAGACGCTCTGCAGTTACCTGTGATACAGTTGGAGACTTCCAACTGCGTACCTGCAAATTGAATCTCATTTGCTGATGTAAACAATATTGTTTCCGTTTGTTTTTTCGCCTTTCTGTTCCTTGCAGGGCCATTTCGAAGGTCAAGGTTTTGAGCGCACTACTCAAGCAATGCAGTAACAAATCGAACTAATCTTAAAGTGCTAATGCTCACCGCAAAACTTGAACTTCTGCTCTTATGCGCAATTCTGAAGTGTGTGTGTGTGTGTCCACCTCTGTAACTAAGAGTTTCAACTTGTCATAGCAGGGGGACGGGTCACCACCGATACTGCCCGTCCAACGAAGAGGATATCGGGTGGTGCTGAAGCAGTGGAGGACGCTCCACTGTGTACCTGCATCAAACGCAATGACTCCACTGGTTTCCCTTGCCGCTGTTGGTTTGTTTCCATGGTGGTTCTTCGCATGATATCCCCCCAAACAGGTTTCCTTGCACGGCGTGAATTCAGTCTGCTAAGTAATCAGCAACTAGTTTTCTGCAGTCACGCGTCAACCTTTGTAAAACACCTTCAAGTACTCGGACTTTTCGCCTTTCGGTTAACTCTTTCCTTTCCTAGGTCTGCCAAGTATTCAGTAACTACAGTTTTCTGCAGTCACGCGTCAACCTTTGTTAAAACACCTTCAAGTACTCGGACTCTTCGCCTTTCGGTTCACTCTTTCCTTTCTAGGTCCGCTAAGTATTCAGTAACTAATGTTCTGCAGTCACGCGTAACTTTCTGTTAAATAATACTGTTCTGCGGACTCTTCCACCTTTCCGTTCCCTCACCTTTTTCCACTTGGGAATAGAGTAACTGAAAACCAATGTCAGAGTGTGAACCGCTCAGTCGTTCCACTTTGGTGCTGGGTGTAATCTCCCGCAAGGGAGCGCTGTCCTCATTCCGGATTACCATTCACTGTTTTTCTTCCGTTCTGCACACGTTGGATTCTCTTAACGGACTCTGTTTCACTCCTGGATTCCCAAAACCCTATGCCGTCGGGCCCACGACAGCATTTCCACCGGTGCATTCATGTGATTGATGTGGCAGTCCCAAACAGGTCGTGTCTGGGATATGTGTGATCGCTTCCCGGTCCTTCGACGCATCCGCGACGCATCCGACGAGGCCATCCTTCAATCCGCGGCCTTGGCCACGCAGGCGCTCGGCTTGCGGCCCGCTTGCGGCCCGTGCGGACATCGGACACAGCAACCGATGTTAAGGACGTCGGACAGGTCGGAGCAGCTTCTCACTTGGATGAGACGAGAGTTTGTTCGGATCCATTGGATCCCTTTCTCAGAAGGTGATTGGAAAACGTATGTAGGCGCCAAGATGGGATGATTGATTTCCCCCTTGACTCATAATTCATGTAAACTCTTGATGAATAATCAACCCTGGTTTGGGATGGCAAAACCCCTTCAGGCCTGGGGTGTGTGATCAATCAAGAGGATCGATGTACATTACTTGATTTAGAAGAACAAGGCCTGGGGATTTGTTGATATCCATCAAGGGTTATCAATCAGGTTTTTTGTTTTTCTCAAGTGAGTTGAAGCTACCAAGCAGTTCTGGACGAAGAGATTCTGCCAGCACAGAGGAAATGGATGCATCTCGATGTATGGAATAGACAATTCTCACATTGGAGTATCCATGGGGTCACCTTGTTGCGGGTACCTGAACCTGACATCATGTATATGAGGCAAATTGGTACAATGTTGACACCAACTCAATTTAACATTCCTGGAACCGAAAATGATTACTTGTCGGTTGTTCGTTTTGTGAATCTGTCAGAAAAAACGGACTCCAAATCAGAAAAGCGGACTCAAAATCTGTCAAACACTTCCGAACAACACATTCAACATCCTGCAACGATCAGGTTCCCTGTCCGACCGTTCGCTACGACCATTCGGTTCGCTCGCTTCGGTCGCTCGGTCCAAGCGGGATCGACTCGGGCACGGAAGATCACTGGGTTGCGACCAGTCCTGCCCATTGCAGATCTGCAGGCAGAAGGAGAAACACTCGGAGATGTTTTCCACTATATAGTCTATATCTTACTTCAACCAGAACATGTTGGCCCAACCCCCCAAAAGGTTGCCATAAAAGGTACCTCCTCTTAGAACGCATCATCCATGCCTCACCTCATGTTGCTGAACTTCCCCCTCACCCACAAGGCCCGCACCTGCCCAAAACCATATCACCTCCTCCCATCAACCCTCCCCCAAAAAGAACGTGACACGGTCTGAGTGTTGAAGAGTATATACACTGTTTTTTGTTGTTATTATGGTCTCTGGGCGTAATGAGTAACAAAAAGATTACTTTACTTCGAGTGATCCCCACCATGACATTTCAATCATTTGTCTTGATGCCATAGTGAGGAGCATGTTGCCATAGTCGTTAGTATTGTAGTTATCGATGTTGCTTGTGGGTCCTCGGGTTGTGTGCTGTGGTTGTGTGCGGTGTTGTGGTTGTGGTTGTGTTTGTGGTTGTGTGTTTGTGGTTGTGTTTGTGGTAGTGGTTGTGATTGTGTGTTTGTAGTTGTGGTTGTGGTTGCGGTTGTGTCTTTGTGATTGTGTATTTGTGGTTGTGGTTGTGTCTTTGTGATTGTGTGTTTGTGGATGTGTTTGTGGTTGTGTTTGTGGTAGTGGTAGTGGTTGTGATTATGTGTTTGTAGTTGTGGTTGTGGTTGTGTCTTTGTGATTATGTGTTTGTACTTGTGGTTGTGGTCGTGTGTTTGTGGTCGTGTGTTTGTGGATGTGTTTGTGGTTGTGTTTGTGTTGTGTGTTTGTGGTTGTGTGTTTGTGTCTTTGTGATTGTGTGTTTGTGGTTGTGTGTTTGTGGTTGTGTGTTTGTGTGTGTGTTTGTGGTTGTGTGTTGTGTGTATGTTTGTGGTTGTGTGTTTGTGATTGTGTCTTTGTAGTTGTGTTTGTAGTTGTGTGTTTGTGATTGTGTTTGTAGTTGCGTGTTTGTGATTGTATTTGTGATTGTGTTTGTGATTGTGTGTTTGTGGTTGTGTGGTTGTGGTTGTGTTTGTGGTTTTGTGTTTGTGGTTATGTGTTTGTGATTGTGTCTTTGTGGTTATGTGTTTGTGGTTATGTGTTTGCGATTGTGTCTTTGTAGTTGTGTTTGTAGTTGTGTGTTTGTGGTTGTGTGTTTGTGGTCGCGCGTTTGTGGTCGTGTGTTTGTGATTGTGTGTTTGTTGACTTTATCTGGCAAACTATCTGGTTGAGGTCCAGCGGTGCACACTGCGATCGGATCCTTGCGGTTGAGGTCCAGCGGTGCACACTGCGATCGGATCCTTGCGGTTGAGGTCCAGCGGTGCACACTGCGATCGGATCGTTGCGGTTGAGGTCCAGCGGTGCACACTGCGATCGGATCCTTGCGGTTGAGGTCCAGCGGTGCACACTGCGATCGGATCCTTGCGGTTGAGGTCCAGCTAGGGGTGCACACTGCGAGGGGATCCTTGCGGTTGAGGTCCAGGGGTGCACACACTGCGATCCGGAGCTGGCCAGACAAGATCGGCGAAGCAGATTGGCGATGAAGATTGGCGAGGAAGGAAGCAAGGAGGAAGGAGGAAGGAGGAGGGCGAGGAGGCGGCGGAGGCGGAGGAAGAACAACTGTGATAAAATCTAACAACCCGCACCTGGCAGGTGGGGAACAAGAGTATACCAGGACCATCCTGTCGGGGTGTCCAATGGACTACCCCACACTACCTATAGGCTTCCAGACAGGGGACCCCTTGGATGGCTCAGGTATTTTTTTTGGAGGGGGGAGCTAGCTGTGGCCACCCGTTTGGCCGTTTTTCCTTCCGCGCACCAGATCGCCATATCCCCAGGCCGCCCACGATCTGGAGACGGACCCCGAGGTGGCCACCGAGGGTGGTCGCTCGGCGCAGGACGGGAGCGCGTCCCGTTCCGTCGAGCGGTGGCGGAGCGGTGTGGCGGAGCGAGGGGATCTGCGGTGCATTTGGGAGAACGAGAGAGTCCACGTATAGGTCCTTTCGTGGTCCAAGGCTGCCAAAATGGGCCATCAAACCTGCAGGTGAACTGTGAAGATGGTGGAGTGTCAACCGGCTCAAAGAGGTTTCAGATTGGACCAGCTTGGATCGCCGTGGATCTCCTCGTAGTCGGTACGGGGCCAGTGGCCCGGTCTTCCGTTGGGTCGAAGTGGTAATTAATCCGAAGAACTGCATGGTGACCAGCTGAGGTAATAATAGTGGTCACTGGATCCCCGACATAGGAGTCCCTGCTGTTTGCTGATGGACTGACTGGTTTTTTCACCTGGCCCCTAAAGGCCGGTCAGTGTGCAAGCTAGACTAGCGCCCGGGGGGTTTTAGACCACCAAAACAGACTATATATATATATAGACTACTATCCCTAGGCCTCCAAGTACCTCCTCAGAAGGTATGACTGGACCCTCACCCACCCCAGTCACACCTTCTCAGAAGGTACGACTGGAGGCCTAGGGTATAGACCTTTGGGAACCTCAACATGTTGGGAAGGATCGAAATGCCCATCCCAGCTGAGAGCGACCGTCCTTCCTTCCACTATCCATCGTTCGGATCCTGACGGCAGGACTCGCAGAAGCTCCGGTGTGGCGCCCCAGCCTTGGCTCCGGTGACGCGCCCAGCGCGCCAACGGCCCAAGGGTCACCAATCGGACCTCTTGGGGGCGCAAGACGATCGTCTTGAGGATGGGATCAGCTGGAACTATGGCCAAGAGAGACCCAAAGACTTTGGCAGAATGGGCGCAGCATTTTGCTGCGGAAGAAGAGGAATCTAAGAGGAGTTTCGCGACCCAAGTAAACAGGGATCAACCCCCACCGCAAGACTCCCAGCTGGGGCAACCCCCCGAGCTCAAAACGGCCCAAGGCCTCTCTAGGCGGGTCACTCCGCCACACGCTCCATGTATGGCAGATTTGGCCTACCTGGTTTTGGTGTGGGGGCGAATCTAGGCATATCTTCCACATGTGAGCCACGTTTTTTTTGCAAATGATTAGGTTTATACAAAAAGGGAACTGTTGAGAAGTCGCGGAGGCTGTTCTGCTTGGGGCGTAGGCGTCGTGTAAGCATTTTGCGTAGGTGGGTGTTGAAAGATTTGCGTAGGCAGTCTTGCGTAGGCACCCTTTTCATGAAAGCCTGAATTTTCTTATTCAGACTTCTTTAAAAGTTGTTCAAGGGTCTTGGGGAAAGATAATGTTGGCTTGTAGTTGTTTAACTTGACACTTGCTTGCAAATTCCAGTGGGGAAGGAAAATGAACATGAATTGTAACGACATGGCTACAGTGGATGTTTGAAGTTTGTTTGTCGAAGCTATGGGGGCACATTGGTTTTTGAGGTCAAAAGCTTGATCGTGCTTGGTCTGGCACACCGGCTCTTGAGCTACAACTGTGCGCACCCTGTTGGTACCATAATCAATGGACCTATTTTCGCGTAGGCGCCGCGTAGGCGCTCGCGGAAGCAGCGCGTAGGCAAGAAGCTATTGGCTGCTGCTACTGCTTGGCTGCTGCTGCTGCTGCTGCTGCCTCTTGTTTTCTGCTTGTTGTGCGCTGCTTATGTGCTGCTGCTTCCACACTGTAATTGGATCGGCTTGATACAAAATCTATCTGGCCATCGGTAGCAAAGCTGTAAACGCCTTGTAAACAGGAACCTGATGTGACCCGGTCGCATCGGGCCACTACTTGCGGATTATATAGCTCTTCTATTTTCGAGTCACCTGATGTGACTAAAGTTGGTGACAGTACCCTGCGTAGGCATCCCGCGTAGGCACCTAACAAAGAGAACCTCTCGCGTAGGCATTTGCTTGAGAGGGGAGCCCAGGCGTAGGCACCCGCGTAGGTACAGACCCAGTGTATAAGCCCCACACCACAAAAAAAAACACAACTCATGTGGAGTGGGACTGGTCCCAACACCAGTCCCGTTTGGCTCCTATCTTCCCGCTGGATGGAAGAAACTGCTGGGCCGCGAAGAAACTGCGGCGGGCAGATGGGGTCAGACATCAGTGGAGCCAAAAGACTGGTTTCGGCGGCTCGATGGCGGTCGACCCCATGATGTCCTGTCGACAGATGGGGGTCCATAGAAACCACTATAAACAGAAGAGGTCTGTGCCATCTAATTACTCAGTCTCCATCCACTAGAAACAGAAAGCCGACTCGCAGCGTCTGGAGTCAGTATGGAGGTACGGTTTTGCTGATCAGGTGGATGTTTGTTTGTCCCGCTCAATCATGGGAAGTCTCGTCATCCGGTAGACGTGTTTCCTGGGTCCTTAACCGATCCCAGTTACCGCTATGGAAGGAATTTGTTGTCTAAGGTTTTATAATTGTTACCTACTATAGTGGGAGCTGGATCCATTGGGTAAGGAGAAGTTTAGGGACTCTTGAGGGTGCCAATGCCAAGGCTCCCACCGCGGCGACAGCCGATCGAGGGGCTGGAAGTGAGTGAGAAGGCGCATGATATTTTTTTTGGCAGTGGCTTGGTAGACCAGGTTTGTGTGGGCTGAGACCACTAGCTATATACTATAGTACCTGGATTCATCAAAAACTATATTTATATATAGTTGTCACCATTAAACACTCTCTAAGGGTCCGAGAGAATCGTGACAAATTACCTGGACCCTACTAGTACTGTGTATAGGTACTTAAGAGCGTCCAGATAGAACAATGGTTGTTTGTGAGGTCATGAAATAGAACGCCACTGGGAAGTGGGAAGACACTCAAAACCACCGTGGCTTTGCCATTTGGGGTGAAAACCACGCACGTGCCACACGAGCAAAAGCTAAGAATACCTTCCCCAAAGGACCCATTGTAGCGCAGGCCCTGGCCTACATTCAGGTGGTGCAGTGGTGGCCACCATTCTTGGGGGCAGCGCCTTTACATAGAAAATCATCCCTATACCTGCTAAGAAGGTGTTTGGGGTAGGTTTAGAGGGTCCAAATACCTTCTGAGGAGGTCCTTGGAGCCCTAGGGCATAGAAATGATCCTTTCCATGGGGAATGCTTCGCCCTTGGAGTTTTTCAGGGCATGGAGCTTACGCATGGGGAGTGTCAGAATCCAGTGAATCCTCCCAATCTCTATCCATTGCCCTGGGTCGGTCAGGTGCGTCGGACTAGACCGAAGAGTGACCCGAACGGACCTCAAAGGATGATCTGAGAAGGTATACAGCATGACATACTGACATACGTCTATAGACGATAGATCTTGAAAGTATGCAACATTGTTGCCTAACTTGGCTGGTTTTATAGAGAAGGCATGTATTGTTGCACAGTTGGAAGAACTATACTATAGGCATATATGTTTTAACAGTGATGTGAAACATGTGACCCATGTTTCACTGCACATCCCAGGACCGTCCTGGTTGGGTGTGTTATGGTTTCGCCCAGGTAACTCCATATTCTGACTGCGCTGGAGATGCCTGCAACTCCTTGGTTTTACCTTGTTTCAGTACGCAGTGCAGGGTCATCTATTGGAGACTCCGAACCGAAGTAGCACGAAGTAGCTGGGTGGCGATCCATCCTTTGAAGCCCTAGAGGCTCAACCTGCCCACCTGACGTTCCGCTCCCAACCCGCCCAGCAAGTCGCTGCCTCCGCTTCTGCTTTTTGCCTCGGCTTTGGTCTCTAAAGGCCTTGGAATGCATTGCGGTTTGCACCGGCGCACAGCCCAGAGCCTTGCCCGGAGTCCCATATGTCGTGGAGCAGCTGGGCGGCCAGAGTGGCCGGGCGTGGTCGGGCGGCCAGTGGCAGGGCTCGGTGGCGAGCTGTGGAAGATGACTCTGATGATGTTTCTTGCTTCAACATGCTTCAACGGCAAGGGCAACTCGAAGAGAACTAAAGTCCTTTTGATTCTGAACACAAGTATAGCTCCTCAAGCCTTAATCGTCCTCAGGTTCAAGGAAACGACATCCGAACGTTGACGACATACAAATTGTCGGACCTTCTCCTGAGTAGGGGAGGTCCTGACCTTCAAGTTTCAGAACTTCTCCCACTTATATACTTTCACCATCTTCAACCAGATGTAAGTTCTGACCCGAGAACTCGTGAAGATCTGCAGCTCGAGTCGACCGCTTGACCCTTGGGGATCCACGTTTAAGTTGCTTGGATTTCAGTGGAAACTCCCAGAGAAGCAGTGCGGCTCAGAGCCGCCGGGCCCCCCCGATTCCCGGTAGTGAATTGGACACCTGTAGACATCCTGGGACGGCAGCCCTGAGTGGATGTCTGGTAGCGTATCTCGACGTGCCAAACAGGGAAACCCCCCTGCTGCTCGCCTAGATAGGCGGACCCTGGACGCATATCTCAGGTGGTTGTTCATGAACTCTTCCAACATGTCTTCTTACCCAAACACGACTAATGGGACTGGCCATAATCTATACCTATGGTTGGAAAGGGGTCAATGTAGGCATACATGAAGTGTTTGGATGATACCAGGATCACAAGGTGCATCCTTCTGACATTCCTCGTCTCGCTAGGGAGCCTCGGCAGAACTTTGCGATTTGAGGCCGCCAGGCACACGAATCGGAAGGGGAGGAACGTCGAATCCAAGCACTTCCCAGGGCCATGGGAAAACCTGGACCCTCCAAATTAGCTTGGAACATTGGATACAAATATATGGTACCTCCCCCCAAATGTCTACCTCTTTTGGTTTTGATTGGTATCTACAGTGTTTTATGCATATTTTTGAGTATAAAAAGTCTAACAAAAAACAAAGCACTTCCCAATTAGAAAAAATAACGAATGAAAGGAAACACAACAAACACATATCCCCAATTTTGAGTATTTGATGTTTGGTTTTACCATTGCAGACGTTTGCGTTCAGGAAGTTTATGAATGCTCCTTCCACACTGTACTCAGCACAAAATCCAGAAATAGCGTTCGCAAACGTTTGCAAACGAGATGGGATTCAAGATTTAAGATTCAAGATTTAAGTTTGGAATCCTGGATTCAAGAACTTTTTTTCTAGGCCTTGAGTCTTAAATCTTGAATCTCGAATAAACGACATATATAACTAGATTCGAAAAACTTGAATTATATTAGATTTAAACATAAACTGCATATAAATTAAATTGAAAACACATTAGCTATAAATAAATGTGCAGTGAATTTCAATTAAAGAATACTATATATGGAAGTTACTCAAAATTAGAATTGAATTGAATGATAACTGCAATAGAATTAACATTTAATTACAGTAGATTTAAACAGATTTGAATGTGATTTCAATTAGAATTGAGTTAGAATTAGGTCATTCAGGATGTCAATTATGTGTTGCTTTCTTAACGGTTGTTTTCTCAAAATCACCCCCCCCAGCAAAACCCTCTTTCTAGAATAAAGTTTGTATTGAATTAGAAATATATTTGAATCGAGTTCAAATCAAGTTTGAATTAATCAAATTTCAATTGGTAATCAAAATAGAGTTAAACTAGAATCAAAACAACTGAAATTGAATCGTATAAGATTTTAACTAGCTGAAACTAAAAAATGCATTGAACAAGAATCAAATTAAGATCAATATATAATTAATCACACTTAAATTGGGAATCAAAATAGAATTAAGTAGATAAAAAGGTAGACATTTGGGGGTGGGGTAGCAAATATATGTATGTGCATCAAAGCCCGGGTAGGTGGACCTCCCAGGTCGTTGAAGATATTCTCGACCGGTGGTCTACCAAGGTCGGTGTCCTGCCATGACAGCCGGTGCCATGACCTGGTGCTTGAAAGCGACCTGTTCCCCAAAAATCCAGTCGTACCGAACCTCAGGTTAGGTGATGTGTTCGACACTGAGACATGTAGGTGCCAAAACGTCGGGTCCAGTCGTACCTGGTGAGAAGGTACTTGGATCCCTAGGGGTTGATCCCTGCGTTTTCTTGCGACTGTAAAAGCTCACTAACAGAGACTCGAAAAAAGGAGATGAGAGCTGCGCAAACAGTCCTTGCATGGTAGACCTTTGTAGTCGTCTCTTTGGGGCAGGACCATGGTCTGAGAGGATGGAATGGTTTCACCTAGGTTTCACCCATACCCTTTGACCCCAGCCTCTCAGAACTCTATCATTTTTGCATTCCAGAAGTCAGATCTCGGAGTGCTTCGTCCCATCCTGTCCCGCGACGCCAATGTGATGTGGGGGCCACCCGGACGAACGGAAGTCGTTCCCCGACTCAATGGAATTGCTGCTTTGAGGTCCATGATGTTCACCCCGGTTCGGGCTCCAGTCGTACCTTCGTTTCGGTTCGGTGGGAGGATCTCCTGACTCATGAAAACCCGACGCGCAGTGTGTTTTCAGGCCTTGTGTTTCCAAGACGAAGACCCAGGTTTGTGCCAGAAGACCCGATGGTTTGACCAGAGACAACACTTGAATGGAACTTCCAGGCGCTCTATGGGACTGGCATAAATTTATCATTTAATGTATCTATATGTATATTTAATTAATGTTATAGTTTTTACACATATATGTAATACTTTTTATTGGGTGTGTGCTGCGACTACCTGCAACAGTCGATAAAGAAGCATATCGCAATTTTAGAGAAAGGCCTTTACTAAGCATCATCATCCACTGTTACAGGGAGTTGGGATATATCGCATAGTATATGCCCAGAGGGTCCAGGATCATCAGCCACAGGATCATCAGCAGTGGACGTCCTTTGGCCCCAAAGACCACATGTTTGAAAAAGATGCTTTGACTGCAGGACCGAGACGTGCCCACCCAAAACTCTTACACAGGTGATGGCATTGGTATGTATGTTTGAGATGGTAGCGTCTGTGACTTGAGCTGTCTTCAGACCAATATTATAACGCTTCTGATACCCGACCGACACCCTATTCAGTTCTGGTGGCCCGGGTAGGCAGCCCCCCAATTGAACTACTACTCTGCTACTACTACTGCTGCTGCTGCTGCTACTGCTACTGCTACTGCTACTGCTACTCCTACTACTACTCCTACTGCTATTGCTATTGCTACTGCTACTACTACTACTACTACTACTACTACGACGACGGATATGCACCACGAACAGAAGCACCAAGAGCAGACCGAACCAACGACTGCATGATTTTGTTTGGGCGTCGCTTGACATCAGCAGCATGCCCAGCAGATTTCCTCCCAGCAAACTGCGCGTAGCTGGCCTATAGTCCCGCTTTCGAAGCCAGTGTGTCACAGAAGCGATTGTCTGGCCAGCAAGTCGCAACAAATAAGATCCTGCTTGAATGGCTGCTCCGAGATTGTCACTGCACCAGCTGGCTTTGCTAGTCTGCTAAGACAAAGAGTCTTTTCAGCAGAGCGAAGTACGGTGATGAGAACCTGCGCCTGAACACCCAGAGCATGGCTCCTGCGAGACGCCGGGTCCAGGGCTGGCAGAATCAGCTCTTCATCATTCGGTAGCAGATCCTTGACAACGATGCACTTTGACTGGTCAGATTACACCGCTCCATAATTTCTGGTGGGTCCAATACCAAAGGATTTCATTGAACTCCACGCCCTTCTCAACACGAGCAAGGGAGAAACAAACACGGAACCAGAAAAACTCTCAGAAAAATATGAGTGTCGGACAATATTCAATATATTACCCACTAGTAGTAGTAGTAGAAGTAGAAGCAGAAGCAGTAAGTAGTAAGTAGTAAGTAGTATGCAGTAGTATTTACATAGCTTCATGCTTTGTTTCGGACTTGACTAGCTCTGAGCTGTCCTGCCCGCTGGCAGGGCTGGGCTGGGAACTCGATCCGACCTATCTCTTTCTTGGGGTGGGATTGCTATTGGCTCTGCCTTTTCTCTCGACGCGAGCATTTGTCTGTCCTGAGCTATGAAGTGGTGGATGCAGCAACAGCTTCTTTAAAGGATGTTTTCTTGGATGCCCCTTCCTCTGGGCAAGACCACCGTGGTGAGGCTTCTGCGGACATTATACAAGCCGCCTTGAGTCAAGACCCTTTGTCATTATGTCATTGACGACGTCCTACCTAAGGCACATCCTTGCTGCTATTGGCACCGACGGCACTGGCGCAGCAGGTGGGGCAGCTGCGAAGCATGGGATCGAGATCAAAAGCCACAGACGCTGCAGGAGTTGGAACATTTCGTGCTCCAGAACTTTCACTTCTGCTGCAACAGACGGCGATGCGACGCTAGCTCCATGAAGCTCACAGACCTTTTGGTGGGGCAGTCTCGTCGAGAGTGTATCCTGGGCAAGTGTATCCTTTTCAGTTGCTCGCCAAAGTGAGAGGTGGTTCAAACCATCCGGATCGTGGCCAGAGATTAAGACATGCGTATGGGTGTCAAGGGCCTTCAGGACTGGCAAAAACTGCAACCTTCGGACGTGATTGACGTCTCTTTGCAGACCTGTGAGAGAAGGTAGTGGATATGCAGTTTCAACTTTGTCAAACATGATCAGTAGCATGTGTGGTGCGGAGTTGCATCCTGTGGGGAGTCGGACCCCAGCATAACCAGCATCGTCCACCGCTCACTGGAGTCCCTCTCAGGAACAAGCCGGCCCCGCTCCGCTCACGCTCACACTCATTGTGCCAGACCAGGGTCGACGGACACATATACATATATATATATATGTATGTTTAAATAATATATATGTATATGTTTATAGTATATATGTACTTATTTGTATGTATATATATATATGTTTACTTTTCTATTAGTACATAATATGCCAACCTTGGCTGTTGAAACTACTCCAAGTGATCGGTACATACACAATGCAAGTACATGAACACCCACGAACCTGGATGAGACTGAACGCCATTTCGCTGAAGGGTAGGGTCGCGCTCCCCCACCATAAGCCCAGCCAGGAGGAGGTCATTTTGTCGACGCAGCACCTACCTAGCCTGGATGGTTATTGGATTGTAAACCACATGATGATGGAACGATTTTGGCGGTCAAAAAAGCTGGCGGCGGCGAAGTTTGGGTGGCGGGACTGGTATATTTACCTACCTTAGGGCATTTGACCTCTGGCTTAACAGGGAGAGGCAATATTGTGTGCGGTTGGTGGTCCAGAAAAGAGGTCACTCAGGTTCTATGCCTACATTCACCCTTTTACAACCACCTGTATGTAAGCCTTCCAGACCCAAACAGGCAGCACCATGACCGCCAGCCTCTCCGGTCGAGGCTGACAACGCTGCGGTGAAAGTGAGTGGGGCGAGCGGGGGTGAGGGTGAGAGGATGGAAGTGGCGACGGATTCCACATGAGTGGAACTGCCCAGGAAAAATCACAAACTGCACAACCTTTTGTTGGGAACGCTGGAGAAGTCCACTAAACGAGATGAGGTGGACAATTCAGTTAAATCTATTTTGCAGGGAGCCTGAGGGAGTCAAATGTAGTTGCCCAAAGAGCCATAGATTCAAGTTTCAGTTCATACCAGGGTTCGTTGCCAAAAGGGTGTCTATGTTGAATAGTCCGGAACAGTGGCTCAGCCATATGGGAGTGTAATTCAAATAGGGAGACTTCCTAGGCAACAACCCTCTTGAAGGTTCAGAAAGCAGACCAGTCTACCCAGCCAGGGTCAGGGGCTCAGATATTATGTTAAACACACACATCCACATGAATGTACATGTTCAAAGATCTGCAGAGCCAAGTTCAAAAGTTCATGCCAGGACCCACCTGTGGGGACATTCATGGACACCCCGAATCACCTCTATATACACATAAGGGCCCATCGCCGGGGGCTCTGGCACACACTTCGGCAGCACGTTTTGGGGGATGAAGAGAAGGAATTCCATTGAAAGGCCATATAAGGGGGCTCGGCATGTGTTTGCTGCTGCCGACCAAAGCGAGACCATCCATGGGACTATAAAGTACGTATTTGCCAATACATTGACCCTTAAAACACCTCATGTCGGAACATGTTCGATGCTGTTAGGGAAGGGACTCCCCTGAACGCTCCGTTGGAGATTATGATCGTGAAAGCCAAGTCATCGATCGAGGCACCAGCCACGAGGTATACAGAGTGACCCTTTAAAGCCACCCCAACCGACGGCTGCATAGTTGGAGCCCCAGCTGGATAGTGGTTGTGTTGAGTTCTACGGGTTGTACAGTACGAGGTTGTCAAGGAATCCGCCACATCGATGCTCAGTCAGTGTCCTTTCCTTCGAGGTTTCACCTGTGTTTGATACGTTTCACCGACCATTAAGAAAAATGGAGTGTGAGGATGCGCGCCAGGATGCAGGTATAGGCAGAATCTTCGTCACATGAGGACCTTTCAGAAAGAAAAGAATGTCTACTAAGGGCTCACAAACCTACAGGATGATACAGGATACAGGTAGGGTAGTTGGAACCCTAAACCACCGTACCCAGTCAGTCCACCACCTTTAACCACCTATTCTTTTGGAGGGGGGCGGTTTCTCCACTGAACCACTGGAAAACTGGAGGAGCCAGGGGTGGAGACATGTGGATGGTCAGCGGGAGATCTTGATGTCAGAATCCAGTGCACCAGAGATCCCGCGGTGCTGCGGTGCCTGACGCACGGGTGAATAGATGGATCTCCTACAAATGGATGTCTCCAAAACAGACGAGATGTGAGTGGTGCTCCGGCACTGTGTATCCCTAGGGCTCCTGGCCCACCTCCGTTTCGAAGGTGGGCCAGGGGTGTGTTTTGGGGGTCTAACCACCGAACCTGAGGAGATGGGCCAGGAGCCCTAGGGATATTGAAAGGTTTTGTGCTGATCAGATAGATACTTTCACGATCTTTCACCACGTCAAATGAACGTCGAACATCGAAACCGGTGGAACCCGACGTTCTGACGTTTTGCGGACCCAACCAGTGAGTTACACCCCAGCAGACACTCCATCTATAAATACTATCATTGACATTCATTGACCATCATTGACCCCTTGTCAACCACCCGAATGCTTTGACATATACCTGCAAAGTGGACCGAACTTGATATCGTTTGAGGCCTGCAAATGGATGTAAATGGTGTTGATTCAAAGGCCTGTTCGGCCCGAGACCTTGGGATTCTTCTCCACCACCCCACTCCACAACCGCCACCATTTTCCGGGTTCGCCACCATGCTTGAAATCCATGGTCCGGCCGTTTCGGGGGGCCCGACTTGGACTCCGGATGCGAATTCGCGAATCCCACGGTCGCGAAGTCGCGCATTCGGGCTCCAACGTTGGTGAGCAACCACCCCTGGCCCATCTTCCTAGGGCTGGGGGGGGGGTCCAACCTGAGGAGATGGGCGAGCCCTAGGGAACGTACAGAAGGCAAGCAAAGGGTTCGTTGTTTTGAACATCCGACTTGCACAGCGAACGCCCAAGACGAACAAGAGAAGAACATCTTCCGAGATCATGAAGTTTGGAACATCCTTCCGAGATCTTGTTTTCAGTGAACATCCAGAAGGACCAAGTGGCTCGTCGTCCACGTTCAGCGTCGTCCAAGTGTGGCGACATGAGGAGTCAGTTCTCAACAGAACCAGATCTCCAGTCCAGACGTATTCAGGTCATGCTATCGACCGAAGCTACGCACAGTGGAGGCCATCGCTAGTATAGGTTGGAGGCCATTGCTACGCACGTAACAAGAAGCTACTAGGAACAAAGGGAAACCGCTACGAACGGAGCAAGGACGCCGCTACGAACGGGGCGCTCCTGCCCTTATTACTAGTAACAAGAACACTACGAACTCATGTGTTGCACCTTTTTCATCTCCGGCCGCCGGTCTCCGGCCCGGGAGCCTCAGAATCGGACGCATTGGACCTTTTTCGGGGGGGTCGCAACACGCGTTGCAGCCCGACGTTTTTCAGCGGATGGAAGATGATCGATGTGAGATGGACAGATCGACACTCTGGACGATCGAAGCTCCCGGAACGTGACCTGAAGCGAGCTAGGATAGTCGAACGTTCGGGTTCTGACCCACCTCTGCTGGCTGGACGGGTGATCGTTTCTTTTTGTGATCTGTTTTACATGCCGATCAGTTGGGGTGAAATTTCTGGGGGCGTTGGATCCATGCAGGTCGATTTCTTGACCACTCATATTACACAGATCCTCGGTCTTCAGTCCCATAGATGGTCTGGGACCCAGACCCCCAACACGGCCCAATGAGATGCTTATATATCATGATACCTAGCAACTGAGGGTTGCTATTTCAGAGGTCAATGGCAGCATAGATTCCAGTTGTGTTTGGGATAGGGCCAGAAGAATTCTGGAGTTTCATCAGGGCAAAAACCGGTGTCACTGATTCCTGTAATTAATATGCCACTGTAAAGGAAAGAAAACAACATATGAGCATGAGAAGTGGAGAAGATGAAGTTTGCTGCAGTTTGCGACTTGAAGGAAACTGACGTTGTCAACTCTGGCTGGTTTCTGGTGTGCAAAGGTCTTCAACATGGCTCGTCCGCAGCTCGTTCAGGCCAGGCTATTGACCGCGAGCGATTCCAGTTTTGAAACTGCCTTGACTAGGTGGTTTTTAGGTCGAGCGCTCCCATGGCACCGCAGATCTCTCACACCGACTCCTTGCGTCTCTGGCACGCGCTGACCAAGCCCTCCTTAGCATCTACCGCAGATGGCCCGCAATCCAGGCACGGCCCTTGCGATCCAAGGCGTCCACCAGGTCGAGGTCCTAGTGGTCGGGGTCTGGTTATGCGAACATGTTCCAGTTTAGACCCTATACCCTGTATAGCTGGCTACATGGATCCTTGGAAGCTCACCTTCCAAAGATCTTCCAAAGGTGTGCAAAAGAAGGAACACACGTCCGGTCCGAGTGTGCAGTGTGGAGGACGTATCAGCAAGACCTCTGCGAGTAGCAAGACTGACCAGGTCGACTGACCTGCCCAGTGTCGCCCTCCTCCTGCCCGGTGTCTCTTAGTAGCAGACGATGTGGAGGGTGATAGCCATCTAACCCCGGCACGACCTGAAACAGGGACTGACCAAACGAGTCTCTTGACAGACCCTGGAAGTCCGGACACGACCATGTTTTAAATGGGAACGATCTGGTTTTGTAGTGTAAAAGCCTTAGTAAAACCATGGTCGTTCAGCAAAGGCTATTTATGCAATAAATGGTTCGACTTCTAGGGGTTTGTAGTCTGTCCCATTCTGTCCCATTCAAAACCTGTAACAGTCAGTAAACACGAAGATCTTTTAGAGATGGAAAGGCCTGCAACTGAACCATCATCCACTGGGTCCTGGTCAATGGGATATACCCCATTTATACCCACGTTGGGGTGCTGTTCCAGGGTCAATACAGGTCTGCCATGCACTGTCAGTGTTTGGGCCTGAAACGAGAAAACACACCGGTCAACATGGTCAGCGGCATCCACACAGTCTTTTTATGTCAAACAACGCATGTCCCTAGCACATCGCTGTGTGGGGGCATGTGACCTCCGATTTCAGGGCCCAGGTGTTTGAGTCCATTTTGCTCCAGACACTCCATGTATGGAATATTTACCTCCCTAAGAACCAAGCACCCTCAAAGGTGAAGGTTTGGTTCGGGTCCAAACCCCTGCTATGCAGCGTCAAAACCCGCCATAAGATGGTCCTTCTTCTTTGGGGTGCAGTATAGATTGATCCCTGAAACCACCCCCAATGTTGGTAGCTGTATAATGTTTTGCAGCTGGTTCTTCAAAGTGACCAAACCTGATATCTCAGCTTGAAGTCACAAAAGGGCCTGTAAAAGGTCACAAACAGGGGCTCTAACAAGATCACGCGTTGAAGAAGCTGTTATACAATAAAAGAAATATATTTACCTGGAACCCCAAACGATCACCGTTTTTTGAGTGCCAATCAGTTTTGAGACGCCACATGGCATTGGTGTTCTGTTTTTGGGTGTTTGGCTGAACGATCAAAAAAGATCAAGGACTGCTATGTGGAAACCTTGCCGGAAACGAGCTGGAGACACCCAAACGCTAAAAACACAACACAACATTTGTAAACACGACTCAAACGACTAGAAACACAACACAAACGACTAGAAACACAACGCCGTTGTGTGAACCACCTGAAACAACAACCAAAAATACAACGCAAACGATCAACAAAACGACGCAAACGCTCAACTTTATGGCGCAACTTTGGTGTTGTTATTCAATACACTTTGGAATCCCTGGAGTGCCCTTTGTGACACCGGCACAGGTCTTGGATTGTTTTTTTGATGGTCGATCAAAAAATCTAAAACGACTAGATTTTGGTAGGTGTTCCAGGCTCCCGGTATATATACATTATTGTGGTTGTCCTAATACCTGTAACAGTTGGTAAACAATCACT